CCCCCAGTTTGGTCGTCAGTGACATCATTTCCTGCTGCCAAGTCAACTTCCGTCCACCTCGAAACTTGCGAAACCCTACATCTGGTAGACTGAAAAAGGCCCTCCTAGGTAAGCGGTGACCAGGCATACGTAGCACGTGCCCGAGCCAACGCAACTTATTCAGTGCTATCTGTTGTTCTAGGGAGCTAGCATTATTATCACTACCTAGTACTCGCCTACCCACATCATCGTTGCGGACACGCTGGTGCTATCCGAGTCCAGCAATGCTTCGCAGACAACGATGATCAAAGACTTAAAGGCGCCTCAGATCTTCAGACCGAAGGGGCCAAGTCTCACTACCATAGAGCAGAACGACCCTGACTGTGGCCTTGTATACACGGCCTTTCAGACGGAGGAAAATTACTTTCTGTCACCAGATACCGCAGGTTCAAGAAGGTAGCTATGGTTTTTGCAATACGTGAGCTGACGTCAGTTTCCATGCGCCCATCGTTGCTGATACAGCTGCCAATATAAGTGAAATGATCAACCACCTCGAGTTCCTCGTTAGTAAGGGTCAAGGGGTCATCAACTCTTTGCACTTTGAAGGTGCGAAGTGCATACCAAATAATGGGACCACTCTGGACAGGCTATTCAGGGTTGATTTTGCCGCCCCAACATCGTCAAAAAGCAAGATGATATCGTCAGCATAATCTAGATCAACTAACCTTTCACCAGGCAGCACTTCAACACCCACATCGTGAGATTCCGCAAGGGAACACTCCATGATAAAATCCACGACGAAATTGAGCAGAAATGGAGAAATCGGACAACCCTGACGAACGCCACTTATGGTCGGAAAGCTATCCTATAGGACACCGTAAACCCTGACGCGGCCCGTAGTGTTCGAGTATAGAGCACGAAGGATGTTCACATATTTCGTGGGAACACCTTTCCGCGCAAGTATTTCGAACAGAATCGATCGATCGACTGAATCGAACGCACTCTTGAAATCGAGGAACACAGCTATTGTCGGTCTGCGGCATGCGTGGCGATGCTCTAGCACCTGCCGCAAAGTGAATATATGGTTTATACAGCCACTTCCTGGGCGGAAACCGGCCTGCTCTTCCGTAATCCGAGATTCCCGTTCTGCAGTGAGGCGACGAAAGATAATCGAGACCAATAATTTTGTCACAATCGGCGTTAGGTTAATACTCCTGTGGTTAGAACAGTCTGTGCGACTGCACTTCTTGTATATATTGTTACTATAAACGATTCGCTCCAATTAGCCGGGACGCTCTCTTCTTTCCAGACACATTCGAATAAGGAGGTCAGTACTTTGCAGAAAACCTCACCTCCATTCTTAAATAGTGCAGACGGGATGGAATCCGGGCCAGTGGCACGAAAACGATTGAGGGCTGTAATCGCGTTTCGGACGTCGGCCTCAGACGGAGGTTCTAAACTAACCGTCCATGGCTCGTCCTGCATCACTTGAGTAGGAAGAGGTCCGGGAGCAGGGGGCCAGCTGAACTGGTCTTGAGAGTGTTCCGCCCAAGGAGCCATACGGCGCTCCTTATTGTGTATCAGTGCACCCGCGCTGTCGCTGATTGTCTCACTGACGCCTGGTTTCCTGGCGCCGGTGGTGTGGATCAGCTGGAAGAGCTTGCGATAATTGCCAACTGCTCCTGCCTCTTCCATTTCTTGAAACTGACTGGTATACCAGGCTTCCTTGTCAGCATGCAGGCTCCGTTTTAGTTCGCGCCTAATAGTTCGTCTGGCCACATTGTGCTCAGAGTTGGCCGAGAAGTTCCTCTTGGATTCCATCAGGTTCACCTACCTCTCAGATCTCCAGTGACTGGTGCGGTGACGACTGATAGTACCACAAGCAGATGCTACTGCGTCGTGCATGGTGGCTGAGATCCTATTCTACTGAAGCTCTGTCATTAGGACAAGAGATAGAAAGTTCGGTACGCACTGCATCCTGGTAGGCTTGTTTGAGGGAGGGCTGAGATAATTTCTCAGTTCGCGGTGTACCAACCAGTAAAGTTCATGGGAAAACGAGGGTAGCAAAGCATGTGACCGGAAAGTAGGAAACCACCAAAAAGCCGCTATGACGCCGGGAAATCGAATGGTAACAATTGCGCATAAAAATCCGGTTTGTTCCTCCTTGGAAAGGTGGATAGAAATTTGGATACAGTGACCGATGCAGGCGACATAAGAGGTATGTATGCAGTACACCGGAGTTTGGACGATGATCCGCCTTATCTTTGCACGATAGCCAGCTGTTTGTGACGGAATGTTGTCTACACAAGGTGTAGGCGCCTTGACCCTGAATGTTTGCTTAGGGCATTAAGGTTTTCAGGTAAGTCCCCCTTCTCTCCCTCTTATTCTTTATTTCATAGTTCCTCATGGTTGTATGGCAGCGAAACATCAGTTCAAATGGCTGATGTACTGCTGTTGATGATGATGATGGACGATGATCCTTCTGATGATTGTGATTTTTACTAGCTATCCAAGCTACCAACTTATGAACCGGCAATGTCGGTCGGAACTGAATCAAACATTAGTCATTTCTAACGTATAGGGAAGGATCCGGAAGCCACTTGTCCGTTCAGGTCAAAAATCGGTCAATAGATGAATTTAAAGAGCGCCAGCTGTTCTGGTTGCAGTGGGTGTGATTCAATTAGGAAATAACGTTTAAATTGCCTAAAACACCGGTCTGAGTAGCGTCTTGGAAGGGACAGAGAGCGCAGGTGAATGGGGAGAGACAATAATACGGAGAATAGTGCACCAGCTCATCCGAAGTTGTAATAAGAAACAAATGAGGCGGACACTTTGGTAAGTAGTTCAGTATGTGAACAAAATGTTTATGGTGCGTGCACTGGACACAGGACATAAAACCGACCGCCGGGAGGGGTTTGTAATAACAACCTGAAGGCTAATTAACGATGCAGTATAAATCGTCAAAACCAATACCTGTGGAATTAAATTGGACGGCGGGGAGCGGTGAAATGCGTGATACATATCTTAACAAGACCTGTTTAAAGAGCATCGGTGGGAGGATCAAGGTTGAAGAGCCAAAACCAATCCACCCTCAGTACTGTGGACCACAAAACATGGGGAACTTAGCTACTTTCCGATCTTACTATACCATTTAAGACGCCAAGTTGTTCTTGAACAGTGATTACCCATATACACGTATCTTGGTTGCAGCAGTTGTCATCCCAGTGTTTTATAAATGCTTCGGGATCTTCCCTACACTCTTCGACTTAAGACTTTGAACTTGTTCTCCATGGAATATCGTCGCTGTTGCGGAGATTTCTACACCAGACGCATCCTAAGGAGAGAGCTCGGAAGTGAGCTGCAGCAGTTCTTCCCTCTAAGTGTGGGCAGCTCGACACATGGCCACAAATGGAAATTATTTAAGCCGAGGACACTTCGCGCCCGTCCGCAAGCTGCCCTCTCTTCCAGTGGTAAATGATTGGAACAGTCCGCCGGAACACATAACTGACTCGCAGACAGAAGAAAGTTTCAAGTTATTGCTAGACACCCATCTAACGCACATGACAGGGTCCTGCTACTCTTACTTAAAAGGTGATGAGCTCCGAAGGAGTGACGTTTCCCGATAGCAAGCACCCACCTTGTGATGATTCGGAACCGATGGACCTGTAAAGGAACCTCCCTCCTGCTCTCCATATTTCAATGTAATGCAGAGTTTGCTCAGTGCAAAGTGCCACCCACCAAACAAACCAGACGGTTGTTTCATAAACTTTCTCAATCGGATCTAGATAAGATTCATGTCGGAAACTCTAACTTGAGCTTAGTCTGGCTCAAAAAGTCCCGTGTACCGTTGTGCAGTAAATCAAAACGAGAACGATGAATTTAGAAAGAAGAGCCAGTGGAAAAGCTAATTGCCACCGATATGAATATGTCATATTTATCTAAGCGCTGATGTGACCGATCTCTAGGGCGAGAAATGTCAACCCTACTCTGCTGTCGTTTCGTTGTCGTTAATAATTGACCATATCGTAATTTCGCCCAAACGCAGCAATGGCAAGCAAAACGGTTTGAATGAATATTATCAAACCTCAGATGGCGGACTTCCAACCGACTCTATGCAGCAGAAAGATAGAGGTGATCAGTCTTCGGATCAAAAGTATGATCAATTAGCAATGAAAATACGGTGGCCAACAAGGTGAACTACTTATGACTCATAAATTGAAGGACGGGGTCGTAACTGTCGACATTTTTGTGAAGCTATTCTCAGCTTTCGTTCGGCCCCAGCTGGAATACTGCGTCTAGGCTTGCCCGCCCTGCCTTGTTCGGCACAAAATGGAGCTCGAGAGGGTTTTGAGAGTAGGTACCAAATTGGTCGTGGGGTTCCGGGGCAATCGTACCCCGAGCGTCTACTTAGCTTGGGTAGGTATTCAATGCATTACCGACGGCTTCGAGGAGACCTAATCCTTACTTATCGCATTTTAACAGAAAAGGTTGGACCAGACTTGAGCCGGTTATTTAGCCCGGCTAGGTTGCCTTGTCTTCGCGGTCATCCCATGAAGCTACACAATCCGCGTTCTGACCGGGTCAGAGCGGAAACTCGATTATCGCATAGTTACCGAGCGCTGGAACTCGCTTCCAGAAAGTGTAGGCAGTGAATCTACGGTTAAGGGTTTTGAGCGTCAGTTAGACGCTCTTGGGTGGCATCACGAAACCTTTCCCTCCCCCTGACCATATCCATCTTTCAGTTCATATTCTGTTATTACCTTCACTCTGGTGTTATCCTTAATTTAAATGACTTTCATTCCTCTTTACCTTCCATTTTCTTTCTACTTCCTTCTTACGTGACCCACACAGCGGGGACTGCTAGTGCAGGGAATGTGGGCAGTAATTGGCTGACCAGGGTGTGTTTCGTTTTATATCTATCAAGATCTCATAGCACCTTATCATTTCCAGGCTCAACGATCCGCTCAAGAAGGAACACTCAAGGGATTTTCCTATCGTTCCAGTCCATCTGAATCTGAAGACAGGATCGCATTGGGACGGGATGACAGAATCAGTTGTAGTAAAGCAGAGTAGTGAGTTATGAACAGTAACAGATAACACGTTGCAGGTGACAAGATGCTCAAATAGAAGTACGACTAGATAATCGGTGTATGCCTACAAAACGTAAGCGTGTCAGGAAGAATACGAATGTTTAGTTAGGGGATGGCATTGGCTATCAGATAACACAGTAGGCCTTGATTTACATTCGGAAAATAGTACACAAGATGAGAGGAATTACGTGGATAAACTGAAACAAAAGACGCGTTCTTAGAAAATGTGACTTGCGAACGACGCAAGGATCTAAGAGGACCGTATTTCCCAGAGGAAATTGCCCAGCTCATGCAACATGAGCAAGAAGGTCAAGTAGGTCACGTGATGAAAAACAGCGGGTCTTGAAATGGAACATTGCCAAACCGAGGAATGTGACTCCAGGTGCCACAAGTAGCACTGAAACATATTTGGCCGATGAAGTTTTTAACCCTTAGTGGGTTCGCGTTTTAATTTGAGCACCAAGAACACGAGCGGGAAGCCTCAACTGGTTCGCTGATCCTTTGCCCCAATGGGTTGGTCGAACTATCTGGCTCGCGGGGTGACTTCTGGAGAATCGCCAAAGTTAATTTTTCAAAGGCCTGATCGACGTTATGCCCCGTTTTGGCACTTGTCTCAATAAGCGGAACCTGAAGGATCTATGAATATACATGGTTAATACCTGGTATTCATTGCACATTCTAGTAGCTTCTTCAAATGACACAGCCCTGCGATCCTCCATGTCACATTTGTTGGCAACAACAAGCTTCTCCACGTCTGTGGAGGCCAAAGATCGGATGTTTTCCATCCAACGACTGACGCTATCGAACGTCTTTCTGCTGGTTATATCGTAGACCAGCATGATGCCCCTTGCTCCCCTATAGTAAGAGGCAGTAATCGTCTGGAATCTTTCTTGTCCAGCAGTATCCCAGATCTAGAACTAGGTAGAAGATCCACCGATGTGCAAAGGTACCTGCAACTTAATCCTTTTACCCGCAACATCAGTAGTTTTGATTTTAAAATCAATTCCGATAGTAGATATGAAGGACAGGGAAAACGTGTCGTCGACGTAGCGAAAGAGCAGACATGTCTTGCCGACCCCGGAATCACCAATAAGTAGAAGTTTGTAGAGAGCATCGTAATTTTTCTTTGCCATCTGGCTAGGACGGTTACAAATAGTGAAAATGCGACAGTTATGGTGTGAACGCAATCGAATTGGATTCAACCAAAGTACCTAACTAACGGACTCTAAATAGGTCGAAAATATGTTCCGGGGTTTGGTACAGCAAGTGGTGTCAGTGCCATTCCCTGAAATAACATAAAAAGTAATAAATGCTTGCATATGTATTTGCCTAAGAATCTGGTCATAGATTTCTAGTATTATAATGCTACAAGGCTAAATTTTAATTATTTACAAGTTAGAACGTCCTGTTAGTACTACGCAGTAACTCGATTTTTTGGCGGGCCATACTCGGCAGGTTTGGTTCGGTAGGTATGCTAGGCCAGCTGGAGAGGTTGCCATTAGATGGCGGTTATATATATATATATATATATATATATATATATATATTATACGCATGTTAACTCGGTGTATCTTTTCAGGTCAGGTCACGTCAGGTTCGCAGAACGGTATGGGCTTCCGCCTAACGAGTGTCCAGCTTCTTGCACCGGCAAGCAAGCAAGGGCTACCGGTACTTCGACATCCAAAGTTAGATAGTTGTTGTGATAGACTACAGGAGTATTGGAAATCACTTGGCACCACATTTGTAACTGTCGTCATGGTGGGTGAGTCTGAGCGTACTATTATCGGAAAGTTGATGAAGTTGAGTCCGATGTAAAGACATTTGCAACTGCCACAGCTTTTTGCAAGCATACGGCTGTGACTCCACAGCATTATGAACGTCAAAATTGGAAGGGGTTGCAAGATGATTACCCGTACCGGTACGTGCAGTATCTCTGTGTTCACGGCAGGTGTAGCAACGTTCCTGGGAAACAGTAAGTTGCTGTTTTTACGGTATAATAAATGGTACACCGTTACAGGATGCAGGATTGCGAAGCTCATTTCTCTTTCAAGCTGAAGGTTTAATTTTGCGTTCGAGGGGAATTGTATTTGTGTCATTATCATGGTTTCCATTTTAGGAAGCCATGGCTATATCCACAGAACAGGCGGTTGACGGAGACGCAGGTGAAAATGAGGTTTCCCTGATGTCCGTGTTCAAAAGTGGTATTTCCATTGAGTGGCAGAGAGCAGGAGGGAGATCCTGTGCCATTTCCTTCGCTTCCCGACCTTCTAAGGATTGCAGGCGAATTGGCTGTGTAATAGCTCAGGATGTAGTATCAGTCCTGTAGGATCCTGGAGTACTCAGTAGGAAGATGTCTAGCAAACGTTTGAAACTCCCTTCTGATTATGCGTTGACAAGCGGGTCCGGCAGTCGGTTCCGGTCCTTAAGTACTCGAGTAGAGAGAGAAACATCTGAGCGGACTTTCAACCTCCTCGGTTTAAACAGCTTCCAGCTGTGACATCGAGTCCAGCCGCCAAGTCTTAGCTGAAAAAACTGCCTTAGCTCGTTTCCCCGTTCTCCTCGTAGGATGCGTCTGGTATAGATGAGGTCTCCGCAACGTCGGCGATAGTCTAAGGAAAAGGGGTTCAGCCTCTGTAGCGGGGTGGCGTACGGGAGTTTGTGTAGCTCAAGGACAAAGTTCGAGGCTCGTCGCTGAATTTTTTCTACCTTGACATTTTCATGTTTAAATAGAGGAGCTATGGCCGGAAGTCCGAATTCAAGAATGGGACGGATAACGGAGGTGAAGAGAAGTCTAAATACGTGCGGCGTCATTTTAGAAGATCATCTCCTTATGACGCCCCACATTTTGTTCGCCACAGCAGTTCTCTTTTAACGTGTTGTGAGTCGTTTTGAGATCAGAAGAAATTATTGTGCCCAAGTCCTTTTCCTGTGTGCCAAAATTGAGTAGGTGCCCACCAATGTGATATATGCCCAGTGGTTCAGCAGCACCTATAGAAAGGGCTGAGGACTCATCTTTGTTGATTGGCAAACCCCACTTGATAGACCAAGAGTATGGTAGATCACGCGGTTCCTGTAATCGGTCGGCGCCTTCGAGGCTGGACACTATTGACCATAGTTTGAGGTTGTCTGCATAGATCAAACAGTCCGTTTGTAGCATACTGGGTAGATCATTGATATAGCTTGAACGATTCCGATCCGAGAACGGAGCCTTGTGGTACGCCACTATACATAGGCACTAGCAATGAAAGGGTATCGTTTACTTTGACTTCCATATTTCGGTCTTGCAAGAAGTCACTGATCCATAGTAGAAGGTTCCCTGTTATGTCAACGAGGCTGGACCTCACCGTGGTGCGATGGTTTGCGTGCCTCAGGGATCCATTGAGCTATGCTGGGTGGCGCTTTTATTCACCTTCAGAACCACTCATACCAGGTTGGTCAATGGCTAGAGGCCGGAGAAACTCAGCCTCCTGGTCCTCCAGGTTAGGGGTTGGAATGGGGGTGGCTCCTCATTTCATAAAACTGGCTCTGTAGTCCAGAGCCAAAACCCGATGCCTTGCGGTAAGGTTTTTGAACCAAAGGCTTTGGTTGAGAACCCTAATCGTTCTCCTGTCTAGGCCTGGGTAACCCGACAGTATTCTGCCCGCGCAATACAATGAACTTTTCCTACAATAATTTATTGATGCTCTGGCCGTCGCAGAGGATAATAAACGGCGCCCTATCTATTGCATCGAGCAGGATGGATAGGGCTATGGATGCTACTGCTCAGGCCTTCCCGTCTTCTCACACCTCTTCTTTCGCTTCTTCATTCTTATGGTCGCGCTTTAACTTTACTTATATCCCCCCATTTACAATCCCACAATTCTTGGCCCTCCCCCAGCTTACTACAATAGTCGCTTGTCTTCTAATTTCAAATCACACACAATCGCACTGCGTCGCTCCAATCAGTCGACAAGTCCCTGTTCAACAAAGCGGACAACGTCAGTTCATCCGTTTCCCTTTGGACTCCTTGCGTCTCGCAAAATTGGCATGCCTCGTAGGATTCATGGTTTCACTTCGGAATACAACGGGCCTTCTTTCACACCGTCGCGTATGGAAGCAGACAACACTTGCGGTTTGACGGTTCAATTCTTCAGATTACAGCCCACGTAACATACTCGCCACATACTCACTCATGCCGCCGTGTTGCGTAGGATCCTTCGCCGACATCAACCCCAGCCGTAACCTACCGCAGCATGACAACACAGAAATGGTAACCATGCCCACTTTCAATCGTAATCGTCCACCGAACAACGTACTGGACAGTCCACTTAAATAGTGTGTGTAACTGCTGCCGTAACCTATCTCTGGATTTTCAGATAGCGTAGCAGATCCAATCCCGCTTTTGCGCTTCACTAACAGACTTTTCAGTTACGACTTATCACTCATAGCGCCATGCATTGGTCTTTAAGAAACACATTTGAAAAGGAAAACTTAACAGGAGATAACCGATGCATTAACCGATAAGGTGCCTTCACCTACGCTGTATTGACCCAATACTTTAAACGTAGACCAAACTTTATTATTATCGACGTCTAGCATGGCATATTAACCATGACCAAAGATACAAGAGGTGTGCAGTGCATTCTCACAGCGGCCGGTAAGCACGTTGTTCACCGCTATCAGTTTAGTTTGCAGTCTGCGGCCGCTGGTGTGAATTATCTCATCCGCCTGTCCACACCCCACTTCATTACTGTGGTTCCGACTTGGCAGCAATGGTCACTATACCATTTCCGAAATCAACTCCTAGACAAGGTAGGTGACAATGTCGGACCAAAAATTTATCAATGGTGAAATTTGTAGCTTCGATGGGTCAGTCGCGCGTATGCACCCTCTTTTCCTATTGACGGGTGGCACAACAATGAAAAATTATCAAACGTTTACCACCGAACTACGTAGCTTTTTATTTCCAGGTAATATCGTCTAAGACATTGATGACGTAAACCATTCATTCCATTATCGGGAGATGCGCTACGTCGCTTCCACGTGATTGAGTGAGTCAACCCTACATTACATCTATACCTATTGCTTTCATGTGTGTCTACGGAATAAATTTCCATTTACCATTCCTCAGTGTACGCGCGTTGTGGGTCAAGAGCGCCTCACACCCTCCTCATGCTGACGTGAATATTCGGGATCGGTACAGACGTCAGCGCTCCATTTGTGTCTCTTTTTCGTTACCATTTCCTTATTGCCACGAGTACGCAGCCTAATGCATTCAACGCAGTTGCATACAATGACGGAACCAACTGCAAATCCATGTGACTTCATTCTCGTTGTAACAATGGCCCATTGCTTGCGTTCTTTTTGTCGCAATGCCTAAGGTTACCACGGCGGCTTTCCTCCTAGCAACAATAATGCCTTCTATGCAACCTATAGGCATTTCATAACCACTGGTTATGGAGGCGCGCTCCGCCTATAGCACAGTCCTCTCCCGTGTCGATTATGCTGCCACCAACGTGAGACCTATGTAAACTTATGCACTGTCAGTCAAGAACGCCATTGAGACCAGTCATGGCTAATTCCATAGTGGCAGAATTGATGCAGCTGCTCTGGAAACAGTCAACAGCAGTCCTGCGGGCGTGCAGATGCATTCTCTTTTCATTCCTTGGCAGTGCTGCTGGGCCACTATAGTATTAGCAACCGCCAGTATTTAAGGACAATGTTTCCAACGACGGCTATTATGCTGGGTCCGATAAGGACACCAATGCTCTGCGACCAATATAGCACTACTAATAAGAAGCCCCCAAGACATGTGCAGCAAGTATATGAGGCTTTCACAGAGCCCATACGGATGCAAATATCATGGAGCCCAATTAGCATAAGTGACGGCCGTTCATGTACGCTCCTGGCGCCGATAACATAACTGTCACTGTCGGACATAATTAGGCTTCCCTATAGAACATACATACGCTTACTAAGCGCCGTTCCTTTACCGCAGAGAAGTCAAAATTATCTACCTGTTTAATGATCTTTATGACACTGCTGCTATAGAACCTATGATACTTTTCCATGCATCGCTCGTACAACCAATCGCGGCCAACACTGGAGGACAGTTCAGTGAACAACCAAATGCCACCCATGAGGTAATCATATGGCCTTACTAAGTACCCGTCACGTTCGCAGGAACATAAACCTACCTATAACGTTGCGTATATATGTGGGCTACTTGTATAGAAACATCGCAGAAACGTTCATTGATTTTTTCGTTCTTCGTTTTGCCATCCTA